AACATACATACATACATACATACATTTATAAATAATTAAAATAAATAAATACATATTATTTAATAATTATGTAATAATATATTCCTTTCCTTTTAAACTTGCATTCTTTAAACACTAAAGTTTTTTAGTCGTTTGTGTAATCAACCGTATGAGTGCGGAAATCCATAAATGGCAATATGCATAAGTAGACAGACCCACTTGTCCTAGAGGGCGGGGCTTCATTGGTGTCGCTAAAATCACAACTGAAATCTGTCTGGTTTCCCTGCGCTCTCACACACACACACACACACACACAATCAGGAGGACTATATAAGCCACTTGGGACGAGGTTATACCTTAATTTTTATCCTACCTAGTAAAAGGAGTTTTACTTGGTCTTTGGATTAGTATTTCGCCACTTCGTATTTCGGACAGTATGGAAAGTAACAGGCAAATGAAATTCCACATGCTTGAATTAGCCCTGGTTTTATTTTTCACGAAGGCTTGCGCCTCAGGTGAGTCACGTACCTGTGCCATAATGATTGAATGCGTGTTATTCAGTTTGTTAACCAGTTATTTGACACCATTTCTTTCGTTCTAATAATGTTTCGTTATTCAAAAGTAACGTATTGATTCATTTGCTTTTCTGTTTTATAGAAATCTTTCCAAAAGCACAGAACGTAACCTGGTCCTCTATCAATTTTAAATCCATATTAACATGGAGTCCAGAACCAACGAATTATTCCTACACTGTTGAATTTTCAGAGTAAGTCGTCATTTTTTTGTTAGTAGGTTGTTTGTTATTACCTTCATTGTCGTGAATGCTGTATCAGAGTTATGGAAATGTGCTAGAATGAGTAAATAATCCAATCCAGGTTCAATTAAAAAAATCAAATTTATTACAACACGTCAAAAGATATTGCTTCAATAATAGTGAACAATAGTGAAATCTGTTACAGTTTCTCCTTGCAGATTTAATATAAAAGTAAAATGTACAGTACGTGCAGATGAGCTTCATATGTTGCATAGGATATGTTTTACTGTAATACAATAGTGAAAGACTCAATAAAAAGTGCCGTTTACCTTGTTGTATGACCGTTATCTAATATTACTTACTAATATAGTACTAGATCATATTGATTCTGCCCAATCAAGTCATAATTCATTGATTATATCAAAAGGTTTCTCACTCTGCGATCTGAACATGGCCATAAACCGGCAAAAGTGTGAAGCGTAAGGGCAATAAAAGTGTATATTATGTATTATGTGTTTTGTTTCTATTGTCTTAAACTTTTCTATTCATTTCTATCAGTAATTTAATTAAAAGTGCATTGAATGGATCTCTGCAGGTTATAACTTTGGAACCACTTTTTTTAAAGTCAGTTAAACTTATGATTTTACTGTTTGTTGGTTTAGAAACTCTATTATTAATAATTAAACTTAAAAAAAACCTTTATAAACAAAAAGTTCTGTATTAAACTCTCACATGAGGCAGATTTGGCAACTCTTGCATAGTTCCACACCCAGGACTTGTTACAGCAGGCACCAACCTGTCACTTCTTCTCATGTAATATCATTTATTATTTCCAAATGTTTTCTTTACAATCTGAATCAGACTTCCATGTTCCGATAAGGACATGATAAAGACCACATGAAACTTTATTATCGACCCTAGAAGGTTTTTACTGTAACAAGTAGCAAAAAAACACCTGATAACCTAAAACAACAGACGCATACAAAGCCAATGAATAAATAATTCCAAATTGACAGAGTGTATGTGTAAATGGTTGTAGGCTCGGCCAGAACAGGGACCGAACGCCACACTGTATAAGGACGATGGCAACTGAATGCGACCTGACTGCAGGGTTGAAAAACCTGAAGGCCCATTACAGCGCTGACATCCTGTCTGAACCCATGCGGGGCGTCTCCTCCGATCTGGTTGAGTTCCCTCATGTCAGATCGGAGAAATTCTCCCCTTACTATGACAGTCAGTATCCTTGACAACCCACTTCACACCTTTGTCTTTTACTTTATTTAATAACGTGAAGATTTTTGAAATGTTATAAAGATCTTCTGCTTTGATTCTCTTTCAGCTGCCATTGGCAGACCAGAGTTTAAAATAGAAGTAAGCAGCGACAAAAGGAAGACGACGCTGCACGTAACGGACGTCCCCACGGCTCTCTTTAATGAGGATAAAAAGAGACTGAATATTCGGGATGTTTTCGGAGACAACCTGCAATATAAGGTTACCTACAGGAAAGCCAAGAGTACAGGAAAGGTTAGTGTTTTCTGTAAAGTGTTCTATCTGTCTTTTTTCTTATCTTATTTAATAAGCAGTAAACAGACTTTTCTGAGCTCTTTCACCACTTAAAGTCTAAAGTACTATCTTGCTTTACAATATAAAAACAACTTTTCAAAGTTGTAAATAAAACAAAGATTACTGAAGTATGTTTTACGAGAAAATACTATTTCAGTCTTTCTATTTCAAAATTACACGTTTAATTCAACATGTTACTGATGTTTGTTTGTGAAATTTACTAGCAATTGAGTGAGTGAAAATTGTTCCAAAGTAATTATAGTTCTAATTAAAAACTGACAATTTTTAAAATATTTATTTTACTCAACATGATACATTATGTAGGGCACAATAAATTAGACAGTTACAAAAAATATAACAAAAATGTCACAAAGTCTATACAACCATTCAGAAAATTTCAGAAAGATTTTTAAAAGAAATTGATACTTTTATTCAGCAAGGATGCAATAAATTGATCAAAGCTGACTGTAAAGACATTTAAAATGTTACCCAAATATTTATATTTAAATGAATTTCTATTCATCATAGAATTCTGAGAGAAAAAAAATCACAGTTTCCTCAAAAAAGACAGCACAACTATTTTCAGCATTGATAATAATAATAAATGATAAATCAGGATGTTAGAATGATTTCTGAAGGATCACGTGACACTGAAGACAATTGAAGAGTAACGGCTGCTGAAAATTCAGCTTTGCATCGCAGGAATAAATTACATTTTAAAATATATTAAAATTGATAATAAAGCTATTTTAAATATTAATAATAATTCACATTACTGTTTCTACTGTATTTTTGATCAAATAAACGCAGCCTCGGTGAGAATAAGAGACATTAAAACATTTTTTAAATCTTAATTATTCCAATATTATTAGTATTTAGATTATACATATTTTATGTGTTTGCCTCTTCAGAAAGAGAAGATCAGTAAAAGCAGCATCATTGAGCTGACGGATTTGGACCGAGGCGAGAGTTACTGTTTTTATGTTCAGGCTTTCCTACCCTTCCGTGCTCTAGACAAACAACACGGGGAGATCAGCAACATCCAGTGCTCTCCGGAAGAAAGCCCATCTATCTTTGAAGGTAATGCTTTAAGTTTTTACATTAAATCTTGGCCTGTCAGGGATTTTCAGCACAACAATCCCAGGAAAAGCAAACGTTGGGAATTTTGTCTGATAGGGAGTGAATCATTTTCCCAAAATAGATTCTCTCCCCTGATCTGGACTCTGGCTGTAACGCATCCCTTTATGAAGTGTCGGATAGCTGATATAGTGTCATAACAGAGATTTATATGGACTCTATGAATGTGTGATTCACAGAGACATTTAAAGGGGTCATATGACGTTGCTAAAAAGAACAAAGGAAAACTTGAAATCGCATCATATGACCCCTTTAATGCATCCGATAGCACTCATAATTGATAAGAAATGTGTCTGTTGGGTGGATTGTAAATTAGTCATCTCAGTGTCTAGGGACTAACAGAACTGCAAAATTCCTGCGGTGTCCATCAAGCTCATTGAATCAAGTGTTATGTGACCTTAATGACGATGATGTAACGTTTTTGCAGAGTACGGCATGGGTGTCATAGCCGGAGCCATTCTTATTATCATTTTGGCAATAACAGCAATCATTATTGTCATCGTGATGTGCTGCAGACGAAGAAAGAGAGCGGAAAACACAGGAAAAGAAGGATTACCATTGAATGGTGTGTGAAGAGTGTGGATGCTGTGTTTGGTAGATCTAAATTAGACTCTCCCTTAGGGAGGATGGCATCCTGTTCCACTATAAAACAGTGGGAAAATTGTGTTTCTGTGAAACCTCAAAATGTAGATATGTTAGACATATAATTTAGCAAGACAAGACCTTTATACTGTCAGGTGGTGGGTTCTTTAGTCTGGCACTGAAGTGTACTGTATTAACATTTTTAGAAGCAATACCTAATTTCATCTACTTGCTAACAAATGAAAATACTGTTTGATTTATGATGGGGTTTTTTGTACGCCCTTGGGAGAATCAAAATCAGAGCATATTTTATGAAATGAAAGAACACTAATTTATTTTTTTTTAGCTATTAATGTGGTAAGCTGTATTTGTTTTTAAAGTATATTTGTGTTTTAACAGCAAAATGCTCTGCTAAGTTTAAGCACATTGCAACTACATGGCTAACCAGCGATCATAAAATAATGTCAAATCTGGTTTATTGTTGCCATTTTGATACACAAACTTTATCACTGTACTAAAAACCTGTGAATCCAGTAGGAATGGTACTGATGTGGAATTTTTTTTTTTTAATAAAACAATTAAATATACAAAAATGCACATGTGGACTAATCAGAATGCAGACCTTTGTCATTATATTTTCTAACTTCAAAGGACATGTTTTATATGTTGCCTTATAAGAAAATTTAGTAATGAAAATCAAACTCATATTTAAACTCAAACTCATATAGATGTTGAACAATAAGGTAAATAGCTCAATGGCTCCCCCAATTGTAAATTAGTAAAATTCCATTTAATGTGACTCGCCTTAAAAATTTGTATAAGTCTCCTTTTAAGTGTAAATTGTTTTCGCTTTTCATTTAAAGAAATGTAAATGTGTATATAGATAGATAGATAGATAGATAGATAGATAGATAATTGGTCTTTTGAATCACGTCCAACATCTGAATGCAAACTCACATTTGCAACTCAGATAAAATTAATAATTTTTTGTCTATACAAAGTCCAAGACCAGTGCACATTTATGTAAGACTGTATTTTTTTCAATCTCAGCAATAAAAATGTTTTATTTTGTACATAGCAAATGTAAAATTAAAATACAGTTAAAACTAAATTAAAATATACATTCAAATATACAATAAAAATTTGTTGGTGCAATTAGAAAGAACTTTTGGCAAAGTGATTGTTGTGTTCATTGACAGCAGACTAGGGCAAATGTAATAATGACGTCAAAGTTGGACTTTACGTTTAGGGACGGATGTCTGGTACACACACTTCCCGTCTTCCTGGATGTAATTTATCAACATCTCACTTGTATTGACTTCAAAGTACACAAATGCTCCTGTCGTCTGATTGACTGCGTTGGAGAACAGTTGCCAAGACGACGGGAAGCTGTTTTTGTGGTCTGTGTAAATTTCCGCATTAACTCCAGTTCCGCTGACAACATATGAACTTCCATCGTCTTCTCTGATAAACTGATGAAATAGAAATATTTATAGTCCATTGCATGATGCTGATGATGCTTTAGCACCCATAATAGTCACTATTAATGCTTTAATAAATTTGCTTAAAGGAATAGATCACCAAAAATTAAAAACTCACCCTCAGGCCATCTATGATGTAGATGAGCTTGTTTCTTCATCCCAACAGGTTTGGAGAAATGTAACATTACATCACTTGCTCATCAATGGATCCTCTGCAGTGAATGGGTGCCGTCAGAATGAGAGTCCAAACAGCTGATAGAAACATCGCACTCCAAATGGGTTTTAACTTTAAACCGTTGCTTTTGGACAAAATACCAGTTCATAATAACGCTTCCTCTAGTGAAAAATTCTATCCCCTGTTTTCCTCTCACATCAAAATCCAATTACATATTTGTTTGGAGCTGTTTATAACTGTTTTGGCTTGTAAACACTGCTTGATCGGTGCATATTTCTCTCCTGATTCAGACAAGACAACTTTTTCACTGGAGAAAAGCATGTTATGGATATCGAACTTGTATTTTAGTTGGAAGCAACAGTTTGAAGTTAAATATGTCTTAATGATGGATTTGTTTATTATAAACACACAGCTTTTTGCTTTACAAGATGATGGATGGACTGTTGTGCAGAGTTGTGCAGATTATTGTGATGTTTTTATCAGCTGTTTGGACTCTCATTCTGACGGCACCCATTCACTGCAGAGGATCCATTGGCAAACAAGTGATGTAATGCTAAAATTCTCCAAATCTGTTCTGATAAACAAACAAACAAACTCATTTACGTCTTGGATGGCCTGAGGGTGAGTACATTTTCAGAATATTTTACATTTTGGGTAAACCTTTAAAAGAATGTTGTATTGAAATGTTATAGTACTGCTTGATTTTCTGTTACATGATAATGTGATGTTCAAGATACCGACCTGTAGACTGTGGTCATGACCACACAGATATAAGGAGACGCTGTACTTCTTCAGAAGAGGTCTGAGTTTTGATACCAAACACTTGGTTGGACCATGATGTCCAATGGACCAGACTGGATAATGACCGGCCACAATGACAAAATCTGACCTGAGGAACAATCAAAAGATGCATTTATTATAAACGCACTCAAAATGCAAATTCTGCCATTATCTTATAAGTTACAATTTAAATTGCTGCATGAAGTTTTTTTTTTTTTTTTTTACATTGGCCGGCATATTGAATCAATAGTTTATTGACAGCTTATTTTAAAGTGTTTTATGTTTTGTATCATATTTGATACATCAGGCTTTATGACTCATACAGAATATAGGAGAATACAGAGCTCATACTCAAGAAAAAAACACTTAAAATTTATTAAGAGGCCCAAACTGAGCAAAAATATGCAATTTAGTGCAGATGCTGATATTTATATGGCCAGAAAGTAAAATGAAATTCTGAGAGCTTGTAATGTAAATTAATAAGATTTTTATAATAGTATAGCAGACTACCTACATAAATACACATAAATATCAGTTCTCACACAATATATTTCAATAACATGTCTTAATAAGATGATATTTAAATGCTTTTTGGATCAAATATTCATGAAAAGCCTGATGTATCATATTTGATACTCACATTTTAGCATGATTTTTCTAAAAAATGATGTATGGATAATCAAGTAAACCTACTGTAAGTTGCTTCAGCCCAGTAAGTGTTCATCTTGAAATATTAATAGCAATATAAGTTATTCTTACATTTACTTTATAAAACTTCACATCAAAAAGAAACATAAATTTAGAGACCTTATAAATTCATGTATCAATATATTTTAAACATTTCTTCGTTGTGTTGTTGTGAAAACAAAGCAGCATTTACGATTGCAATGACAGAAGAGTGAGTAAACAATGACAGATTTCATTTTTGGGTGAACTGTCCCTTTAAGAGCTGGTCGTATTTTTAGTATCGAATGCCAGGAGTGTTTTCCAGGTCACATCTGGGATTTAGGAGGATGTGATTGTGGATCTGAGGCGGTGAAGAAGTGAGAGAGAATAAGTGAAAGAATGTGACAATGGAGGAGTGGATGCAGTGTGGCAGGTCAGGGCCTTTAAAAACATGCCCTAAAATTCCTGTTACAGGACTAATGTTTGCCCAGTAAAAGCAAAACACATCTTGCGATTATCCACATTGGATTTCAATGTTGTTTGTTTTTCTATTAGATATTGGGCAGACTGTTTGCATTTGGGTCTTAGGTAGCTACTGTTGTACTAATAACTCACTTGGTGTTTTGTAGTTTCTTCTCGATCCATTTCAGATGTTGCTTAGCGGCAGCGTATTCCTCTGGACCTTCAGGTTCAAGCCTGTCATAGGTGTTCCCACACAAAACCACCGTGTCAATCATCAGAACCATGATGGAAGTGTTGCTGTGAGGAACCTTGAAGTTCAGCTCGTAGTAGAGGTCTGGGTAGATCCTGCCAAACATTAACAGCAGCGCACTCTGTGGTCATGAATGAATGCCCATGTTTACATTCTTTAATACACATACTCACTCACCATCTTTCAGATCTATTTGAGTAAGCGATCTGGGCTGATATGTTTCCACGGTGATCGTGATTTCCTGCTACCAGGTACCACGGCACGGCCATCAGCGCGGGGTGAGAGAACACACTCTCATAGGTAGACTAAAGAATAGATCTTCATTAAAACTTCAAAACATCATTTTAAAATATTAAATATTACACATATATATTGACATGATTCAATTATTACTATTATAGTATTACTAATATATTAATAATATATTATGTTAGTAAAATATGAATAAATGTGCATTATATAATTAGAACTTAAATATATAACTTAATAAATTTGCATTAATTTGGAATACCTTGTAAATACCATTGTACTTGAATTTGAGTACCATGGTATTACCAAATTATACCATCACAGTACTTTTTTGTAAGAGATGTAAATACTTATGGTATCATTAAGTATCATGGTACAAAATACATCAAAGCACTATGCATTACCATCTGGACCCTCAATGTAGCATGTTACTTTTTGTAATGTAATGTAATGTAAAAAAATTTTTTTATAATAAAATAAAATAAAATTTAATTTAATGTGTTTAGGCTTTTAATAACAATTATCATAACTACATTGATCTAAATATGGTGATGAGGAGCCATCCTTGGTTTTACTTTTGATTACTACAAATGGAACAGGTAAATCATATAAATATACCATAAAATAAACTACTGTACCTTGGTACTTTTAATTTAATTTAATTTAATTTAATTTAATTTTATTTTATTTTATTTAATTT